GGGGGGGGTCATCCCAAAAAATGACCGCTATAAGGGGGGGGCATGTGAAAAAATTGGTAAGCTGAGGGGGGGTCATGCCATTTTTAAATGGTGCTTCCCAAATCCCACCAGCCCCCCCTCCCTCATAAAAAATGAACGGTCCCTCAGGCAATTGAGAATGAAAAGTAACTTGCCTGGCATGAAAATCTACTTGTCCTGGAGCACTGGATAGTCCTTTTTTCAAGCCCTGATTGATTTACCAGACTGACTTGGAATTGATAACTGCATCACCATCATAACTGAACAGTCTTGACTGTTTTTTAGAACCCCTTACTTGTTTTGATTGATTGACAATACTAGTGACAGCATCAGAGAAGACTTCTCCATGGCAAGTGTGAATTCCATCCTGAAGTCATAAAATTTGGAAACATCCATACTGAACTAAGGCTCACTCAGATTTACTTATTAAATAACTACACTTTCCACATCAAATCTTATCACTAACAACTGACGCTGCTCTGGCACACACCTCCCTCTAAAGAACTACTTATGCTGCAGATAGTTCCTTCTAAACCAGTTAAACTCTTGGAGGGGAGAGAATCAGACCAATCAATGGAAACTCCCCTCCTCACTTGACAGACCCACCCCTGGAAAGTAACTCATATTACCCATAATCACCTTGCATGACATGCTCAACCAAGCCTTTGCCTCGGGAAACTCTTTGAGAAGTTCAATCAGAGCTTCTGCTTCTTTCTAATGATACAGAGAAACAACATTCATTTCATCTTTTTCCTGTAGATAGACCAAAAGTCAAAAAACATTTCCATATAACAATGGGTTAATCTATGCTATACTGCATACTAACATTCCAGGTTTTCTCACAGCAGCCTAAAACAGTCTACAACCATCTGTGAAACAACCAATGTCACCCAGACAGCTTTTTTTACTGAAAATAGCTAATTAATTATCATTAATTGACAACATAATCAGTGGTGTTGTTATAGCTATATTTTGGTCATATATATATAGTTTCACAGCAGTCAGTCACACTAAAATTAATATTAGCATACAGGGTTTGCAAATCGTGAATGACTGAGAGCAGGAATAAGACAGGTTTATGTTTAAATACCATAAATATGTACCTGAGCAGGGATAGTCTCCAAAGCTAAGATATCAGCCCCAGCTTTGAGTAGAGCTGCCACTCTGGGCCTGTGCCAGTTCACTAGATCCTGAAACAAAACAGGTTTTCTTGAATGTACAGATTGGAGCTGGAGACTATAAGGACTAAGGTGCACCAATAGTCGAAATGTTTCTAGTCAAAAGTTTGGTTTACAGCCCAGTGGTGAAAAACATATTTGTACAAATATATATTTGTATAGTACAATAAATACCTCTTACTAACCGACTTAGAGGTCCGTACTGTAAGTTACAGACTGAGCTGTTTCCTTTTTGATTTAAGGGCCAAACACAAAGTATGCGGGCCATAAATCATCGGGAGGTAGGGAGGCGTGGGGGGAAACGAAGAACCGTAACTTGCAGTATGGACTGAGAAGATGAGCTTAGTAAGATAAATACTACATCCCTACTGTGTGTCTGACAGGTTTAGGAACGATTTATATAATTCACACAGAATGGCTTCAAATTTTTGACTCACGTTGAAAGCAAAACAGATCAATTTTAAATCGTTGTTAAGTCTTTAACATATTTTAATACAAAATTTAAAGTTTCAACTTTTACTTGCTATAAATAAAGTAATGAACGCTCGGCGATAAATCATGAAAAATTTTAGCAAACTTTGGCGGGCCTTACTGTAGAATACCGTCCACTAAATTGTCCAATTACAGCACAATTACAGCACATGTACACTGTGAGAGATGTAATAAAAGGCCATAACTCATATGACAAAAAACAGTTTCCTTTCCTAATACCTGTATTGTCATGTTGTCAACATATTTGCCTGTATATTCAGACCCATCATGCTGACATGCTCCATATGGACCTACTGATCCTGCCACTAGCATCTTCCTTGGGCATCCAGTACTGCTACCGTAAATGTAGTACAATTAAATTATTTATTAAATAATACAGTGATCATAGAATAATATAATTAATAAAAGCTTTATAACTAGTTTCGTATCTTTACCTGCACACTGCACGAGAAGCTTCCTGGGCAATTTTCACACTATTCTCAATTACATCTAAGGCTTTGCTCTCATCAAGACCACAGTACATTAAGAGTCCCTCTAGGCTGACCTAGAGAAAAAAAAGCAACAAGGAATTTGCAGAAACGAAACAAGGAATTTCTAAACTATAATGTCAAAATATACATGGTGATTATTACTTATCTGCTAGTACATGCACCTGGTAAGTAGCAGTTGTTGCAACATTTGCTCCACTTTCAAAGAAACTATAAACAACCAAAATGGAGTACAGTTATTTTAAATAGATAAAGTTTATTTTCTGGGTGATAGTAATCAGAAATGTGGATGTAAACCTGGGGAAAACACCTGATTTAAAGCTTAGTGTTTTTCCCAGCTGAAAACATCAGGCACTAAAAATCCCTTGTACAAGGAAAGTGGATCAACTAATTGCAAAGCACAGAAAAAATTATCACTAGTGCATACAGATAGACCAATTTTTATCTGAACCCACACATTGAAGAAAAAACATACATACATACATACATAACTTCAGAGAAGTTCAGGTCTCACGAGTAATCATCGTTTTATTGCTAATAATAATTGGCAATAAAACGATGATTACTCGTGAGACCTGAACTTCTCTGAAGTTATAGTTGATGCTCCTCAATCGATTGAGTTGAGCGCTCTACGAAATACGTTCTACTCAAGAAAAGAATTTACATACATACATACATACATACATACACGCATATACATACAAGATTTTATTCAGGGGTTTAAAAAAATAAAAATACAAAAAAGACACCTTAAAATAAAATATGTATTAAAAGGCTAAGATTCCATTAAAGCAATTTACAAATACAATTAATCGCTATAAATTTAAAAATTTAGATGAAAAAAATATGTAATTTAAACAAAAATAACGCATCACAATAAATTAGGCTTATGATAAAATGTGAATTTACCTTTTGTGAACAGATTTCACGGCCTCTGGGTTTTCAACAAGAATTCTTCCACTCCATAGTGGGTCACCCTAAGTGGAAATAATAATTGAAATATGTCTGTACCTAGGTCTGTAGTCTATTTAGAACAACAGAAAACTAACAGAAGACAAGTTATGGTCATTTGCATCTCACGCGATCATGCAAGCAAGCTAGTACTATAAATGCTATGAGATTGACTTACATCAAGATTAAATCCAGCCCTGGTTAATTCCGTTGCTACACCACCATCTAAAACAAGGAATTCCTCCTTTTTATAGGAAACAACGGCCATATCAAGCAGAAATTCTGAACCATTCGTTCACTTTGCACTGGACATGTTGATTTTGAACAGGCGTGATACTCGCGCGATTTTCTTGGCTGCGGTAGACTGGAACCAAGTTGGTGTTGCATGGAGACGAGGCCAGCTGGTTGCTAAAACAAGACCGAGCGCTAGATCTAAACTTGGAAAAGTTTTGATCGTTTTAGCTTCTACAAAATTCATAATGGTAAGCTATTTTTCTATCTGCCTGGTCCCTCAAATAGATCTGGCATAATGTAATTATGTTTTGTTGAATCATCAGGCAGGATCAGATGAGCGTTACGCGTTTTTAGCAGAATGGTATGATCCCAGGGCTTCACTCATGAGAAAATATCAACTGCTTTTCTATCCCAGCGATTCCTCAGTAGAGATGGTAATAGCTTTGCTTCCTTATATATATTAGTTACCATGTTAGTACTTATACTAGATATTGAAAAAAAACATTAAGCATGTTGCTATGTGCAGCCGTGAAGGAATCAAAGCTAAATAAAGAACGAGCGAAGTGTATGTATTTTCAATCATGTTTAAATTTCTTGCTTGGCATGCTTACATTAGTCATGTTACTTGGTCTTGAAAATTCTGGCAAACTTGTCGTATTTAGCTCGAAATAATTAAGTGTTATTTTATTTGCAGTATAATAAGCGTGCAGTTTTCAAAATCTTGAAATCTAATGTAAAGTTCAGTTGAATTACTGTACTTCATTTGAAAAGAGAGGTCATTTCTAAAGCAATTTGAATTGAATTCTTACCATATTTATGTCCCCATGCTCTTGAGTGAAGCGTTCCTAAAGTGAACTATACTCATTCGTACAGATCTACTTTCTGCTTGTGTTATGTCTACTCTTGGTTTGAGTACAAGCCCATTGCTCTTATACTGGTAGCTGAGCTTTGACTAAAGGACACAAAGTTCTTTTTGTCTCACCTTACACTGGATTTATTTCGTAAACAAATAACACACTGTACCTAACACTAACTACTTATTGACTGAGAGTGAGGTCTTAACGGGAAAATGTCAAACTGAGACCTTGCGGTATTGAGTGAGCGATAGTGAGGTCAATATGGCAAGGCTGAGACCGAACATTGGAGGTTAATAAGTTGTTTGTTGTATGGCTTTTTGCTTTGTTTTTGCAGGCCTGTAATCGGCCAGTGGGCATTAAGGGAGAATAATGCCCCAGAATAAGCCAATCAGAGTGCACGTTATATGGTTGTATACACAAGCCATACATAATTACATGCAGTTAATATGCTCTACGTGAAAGGCATGATTATCAGAATCATTATTGAATAATGCCTAGTTGGCTTAAATACCAACTTAATAAAATGATTTTAATAAATTGGTTAAGCTGACTAGACATCACACTAACTTTTTTAATTCCAAGGATGCATTTTTATAACGTGTTTGTAGCTTCTCAGATTATTTGTTGCTTGGTTCTGATCATGTTTCATGAAGCATAGTTCTCTGTTGAGGTACCAGTGGCATCTTGGTTGTTGTTCTTAGTAGCATGCGATGATCAAATTAACCTCATAAAAAGATACATAGATCTGTTTGCTGATCAGTAAGACGTCCTAAAATCAAAGGGAGGGTTTTTAAAAAAATTTCATAAGTAAGTTATGTTAAATACTTCATTTATTTTGTCCCTGTCTTCTAGTATGACATAAAGAACCGTCGTCTTTTCCTGAAAAGATCGCTGATTGATGGCCTCCAACTTCACCATCTGTTCATTGGAGCCATCATTAAAATTCATTCTCGTCAGGTAACACACAAAATACTATAGATTTATTAATTACTCTTATTATTAGATGTGTTTTCAATGAAAGAAAATAAGAATTTTCTGTTTCATTCCAAAAACATTTGTAATAGATACATATACTTGTACATATTAAAGAACTTTGAATTATGAGTCAATTACTGAGCAGGGATATTATTGTCTTTTTTGTTCCTGTGATTGCAGTTAACAATTACAGACTATGCAGATGAACGTACATCAAACCTTTTGAGAGACAAGAATGAGAAGTAAGTCAGTATTTTAAANGTTTTTGAAGGACTTTGGTGTTAGGAGAACTTTAAAACAAAAAGTATGGTAGAGCTGTCTGAACGAGCAGTATGTAAATTTTTGAAAGGTCATAGGTCTGGTTTCAGCCTCAATCTGTCGAACCATTCCGCGCATCTAACTTGATTTAGCTATGATTGATTCTTGTAAAAATTAGACATCAGAGTGTCATATCCAAAAAAGGGCAGAGTTGTTATTCAAAGTAACAATCAAAATGTTGTATGAAACCATTGCAGTCTCTCTTTTTGGTCGTTTTCCAATGCCCGCACTACTAGCAGCTACCACCATTGTCACATGCACAGTCACGCTTGCACGCTTACTTGTTTTATGTTCTTCCCCACTGATTTTTGAAGAAAAGAGAGACTGCTTGCATTGTAGTTACTTTATGCCTGAGTGGGTAAATTGTATCAACAACAGGCAAGCTTATCATATCACAAAGGGCCCATCTAAGGTATACTCAGCCATAACAGGCACTGCTGGTTACAGCTCTTTTTGACAACCTGAGCTCACAGTTGGTTTGATGACAGTTCGGTTGATAGAGCACTGCATGGCTGGTATTGCAGAATTTATTAATTTTGTTTTAATCCCGTTCAACCCTGACTTTTTTAAACTTGATTTTCCCAACCATCTGTTGCAAGAATGTGAAGATCTTTAATTTCCTTCAGTTGATATCTTGGCAATCAAGCTCAAGTTACAGTACTGATCGAGTAGTGTAATTTTAGCATCAAAGTGAAGCATTCATTTATGTCACAAATAAAGATGTAGACACAAATTTTATACTGGTATGTTTGGATAGGGAATGTAATTGACATGATTCATCAGGAAGACTTCCTCATTTGTCAAGCCAAGATGGTCAGAATGACAAGGTGAGACCTAAGACTTGTTCAAACAAAATAATCAGGTGTGAAAACATCATTACCAAGACATATTTTAGTTCTCACCAGAATGAGTGATTCAGAATTTCTGTAGCTGTAATTTGATGTTAAGTAAATTCCAAATACTGGTTACACTGCCTTTCAATATAAACACACAAACTCTGCTTAATCAATGGTTTCATCTTGCGTTGCCATTGGTCATCTTTGTTGGCCTCCGAGGAAACAGATGTTTGCTTCAACTGGTTCAGAAGATCAGGTCTGTTCACTTGGTCTTTTGATCCAGTTGTTTGTTTTCTTTTTTTTTCCGAGGCTTGTTGTTTTTGTCTTAATTGTGATTGGTGGCAGTCAAAAGGGATGTTTTGAACTTCAGCTTGCATGATACTGAAAGGCATGGTAAAGTATAATTATTGTTCCCAGACTCAAGTAAATGTGAAAATTGACATCTGCAGATTTATCTGAACTGCAGATTGACAGCTTAGTAAAAAATATCATAATGTGGTAGTAGATTCACTTGCACATTGTTCTGTCTAACTTCTTTGTTGTTGAATCTCTTTTGCAGGGAGCAAGCATCAATTTTCTATGCAGAACACAGAGGGAATTCTTTTTTCAAGTGAGTAGGTATATATTTATCAAAACGTTCATTTCCTCTTCCTGTAAGCCAGTAGTAGGTGCTGTTGAGAAATGGAAACTGTTAGTGATTTATGAAGTTAGTAGTTCCAGTTTCCATAACACTGAAATGCATGAAGCAGTTTTACTTAATAAATTATTTTGCGTTAACTTGTACTTTTGATCATTGTGTTCAAATGGCATGCAAGTATGTTGATACTAAATTTGATTTATGCTCTTGCTAGTTATTTAGTGGAATTTGTCACAAGCGGTCCTGTTGTTGCCCTGGAGCTGAAGGGTTCAAATGCTATTCAAAAGTGGCAAACACTTTTAGGCCCAACAGACTCAGCCACAGCGAGGAACCAAGCTCCAATGTCAATCAGAGCAAAGTTTGGCACAGGTATGTACAAAATCAATGACAATGAGTTTTTTTTTTTTTTCCAAGGTTGAAAAAGAGATTAATTCTTCATAGTGATTGCTATACATTTCATGTATGTTAGGTTTGAGGGACAAGATAATAATTATTTCCTGGGTGTCAATACTCTTCTCTCCGAACTACGAAAGCTTAACAGTACAAGAACTTGTATGCCATAGGTAGAATTAGGGTGAACCTGACACCGCTGCAGGCCCCCTATCATCCGGAAAACCTTTTAGTTTTGAATTTTTTCTGGGTTCGGTCCAGCCACAAGTGTGATGGCTCCCTGTTTCTGAGTTTCCTTGATCTGCCATAAGATGTTAATTAAACCAGTTGTAAATTTTTCTTTCAGACAATACAAAGAATGCAGCACATGGCTCCGACTCCCCAGAATCAGCTCAAAGAGTAAGAATACTGATGTAGTTATGACAAGGTTCACCTGTAATATTCATGTATTGTTCTCTTTTTATCTACTAACTATTTTTTCTCTTTTTTCCTCACAGGAAATTGATTTTTTCTTTGGTGGGCTAATATTTGGTGGAAAAAATACTGCTTCTTTTTCAGACTGCACTCTTTGCATAATTAAACCCCATGCCATCATTCAAGGTATTGTTTATTTTAAGTAAATTTTTATAAATGTAAATACTGTAATAGTACCCTAAATTCTTGAAGTACCTGATTTTCAAGTCAATTTTCGTTTCCCTTGAAGGGTTGAAAAATCAGAATTCCACTGTATTGTGCAGTTCCTAG